GGTGAAGATCTTGTGGGACTTTTGAATACAAACGGATCGTCATTTGGAGCACAACACGCCAGATGTTACAGTTGTAGAGGGCCGAAGTGTACAGTTTATTGATATTGCTGTTCCTGGAGACGCCAGAGTCGAAGAAAAAGAACTAGACAAAATCATGAAATATCACGACCTGGCCATCGAAACTACACAGCTATGGATGAAGCATGTAACAGTGATACCCATTGTCATTGGGGCACTTGGCACCATGTCCAAGAATTTTACAAGATACATCCACAAATTTCAGCTTCCTGCAATAACACCACCGGAACTGCAAAAACTGCGCTACTTGGAACATCTTATATTTTAAGAAAGTACTTGGTTGATACCTAGGACTCTGGCAGCAAACTGTATCAGCCATTAGCACCAGTCACTGGTGTTTATAATGCATTTTTGAATGTTCAGTTGGCTGAATTTCATGTTTTATGAATAAAGTATATAATAATAATAATAAAAAGAATCCCAGCTGCTATACTTTGCTGGCCTAACATGATAGTAACCGGTTTTCTTAAAATTCTAATTTTAGCACTCAAATTATTTCCAAGGGGAATGCACATCCAGGCAGTTGGCTTTGAAGTAGACAAATCCCTGGAGGGAATTTTAGTGCATGAAATATCTCAGTGCGAGGCTGATGCAGGTAGGGCCTGTATGGGTTTTTTTATTTGCCAACAGCAAATGAGCTTCTTCCTCTCTTGGTCCACAGGAAAAGTGCCATCAGTACTGGCCGGCCGAGAGGTCTGCACGGTATCAGTACTTTGTGGTGGACCCCATGGCTGAATATAACATGCCTCAATACATCCTCCGAGAATTCAAGGTCACCGATGCCAGGGTAAGTGAGATGCCAGATTCCCATCCTGTACCAGCTTTCCAGGATCAGACGGTGCTCAAGTGTCAGGAAAGGAATTGGTCCTGAATACAGATTGTTGGAAGAGGACCGGGTTGGGCCATAGATCAGGCTGAGCCGTGGAACTGTGTGGTCCCCCTCTGTTGTGGATCAGTTGGGCTGTGGATCTGTGTGATTGTCGTCAGTGAGATTCCCTGGGGAGGAAGATCTCTTAGGGGTTTTTTATTTTGGCATCCTCCATCTAGCCTCCCACGAGCCAGATAACGTTACAGCCTCAACTTTATTTTTACATACTTAGCAAACATCAGCCATTCCTGTAACCACAAACCACAGGTAGTGCTCGACTTAAGACCATTCATTTAGTGGCTGTTTGAAGTTACAACGGCACTGAGAAAATGTGACTTATGACCGTTTTTCACACTTACGATGTTGCAGCATCTCCACGTGGTCACGTGAACAGAATTCGAACCCTTGGCAACTGGTTCATATTTACGACAGTGCCGGTGTCCCAGAGTCATGTGATCCCCTTTTACAAACACCTGACTAGCAAAGTCAATGCTGAAGCCAGATTCCCTTAACAGCCATGTTGCAGTGATTCACTAAGCTACGATGGCAAGAAAGGTTGTAAAAATGGGGCAAAACTCACTTAACAACTGTCTTGCTTAGCAACAGAAGTTTCAGGCTCAATTGTGGTTGTAAGTCGAGGACTACCTGTAATCTAATCGGCCCATCCCAAAGTCAAGGTTTCATATTTTTTTTCCACCTCGAGGACAAAGGCAGTTTCCAAGCAGAATTTCCCTTTAAGCCTGAGATGCTGCTCAGCTCAAGTAATGTATCATCTTATAGCAATAGGACTTATATACCACTTCACAGTGCTTTCCAGCCCTTTCTAAGTAGTTTTACCCGCCTCAGAAGAATGCAAATTGCAGGCAGCCAGCAGTCAGCAGAAGTAGCCTGCAGTACTGCACTCTAACCACTGCGCCACCGTGGCCCACCTTCTGAACAGTGGATGATGATCTAAGCAGTTTACAAATACTAAAAGCACCATCTGCCTGTGTGGTGCAGCAAAGTTCTGAAAATAGTTCAGGCACTATCCTCACCCTCTCCACACGTTTAGGATTAGGGGGTTCTGCTTTCATGTACATCTCCCTCTGTGGCCGTCTAAAATAAGGAATATTTTTTTTCTTTTACTATATATCATGATTATCCAATCCCCCTGATCTCTATAACTGATCATCGTTTTGTTTCCACTCGACAACTTTACAGAGAGAAAATTCAGAATGAACAAAAAGATTAAAGATACTTTCTAGTTCACCTGTTCCCCTGGGTTTTCTTCCCCCCCCCCCCCAACCTCCTGGTTTTTCTTCAAAGTTACACCACTGCAAATGTATAATCTCCCCAACTCTTCTTCCTAAACTCCCCTTTATTCCATCTGCATGAGTTCTGGTACGAAATCATCAACCACCCACTGTGCTTTCCCTCTCAGCAGTTTCATCCTTTGGAATGTATTTCCAAGGATTTTCCTGCTTCTGAAGGATGTGAAAACCCACCTGTGCCTTTTCTCTCTCTTTTTCGCCCCTTCCCTCCTTGGGTGACAGATAGCATGCTGTGTCACCCTTAGTATTGCACAATTTTTAAAAAATCATGACGTTTGTCTCCTGCTCAGAGCATGGGAAGCCCTGTCTGAGCCATCGGCATGACTCAGCCCAGAAATTCAGCAGTTCCAGAATTTCTGCTGAGCACCAGATTAAGGGTACCCACCTTCTCCCACCCGGTGTGTCAGCCTCGCGCCAGACCTGAGAGGTAGACTGAACTTGAGTGAGAAGAACTTGCCATTGGGTTTGTAGCTAAGGAAGAATCACAACTGGATCTTTTGTGCTTTTCAATTTGAGACCTTCGTTCCTTAGTTGACAAATACTCAGATATTTTTAATTTTTTTCCTGGATTTTTTTTTGGGTTTGCCTCTCCTTCTTCAGTTGCATCCCTTTCTTTTAATGATTCTGCTTTGTTATGCTGGTGTTTTTTTTTCTTTTAAGGCACATAGAAAGGGGTGCAGCACTGGTTGTCTATAGCAGTGTTTCTCAACCTTGGCAACTTGAAGATGTCTGGGCTTCAATTCCCAGAATTCCCCAGACAGCGAATGCTGGCTGGGGAATTCTGGGAGTTGAAGTCCAGACAACTTCAAGTTGCCAAGGTTGAGAAACACTGGTCTATAGAATATATTGTGTTTTCTGACACACACACACACACACACACACACACACACACACACACACACACACACCCTACACAGACACACACNGAGATAACTTCAAAAGGCATCACGAAGATGGAATGTCGGTGCCGTTAGTCCTGGCGGGAATCTCCTACGCATGCGTAGTCCGACAGGCAGCTGAGCTCCAGAACCTTCCTCCAGCACAATTAGTAACCCCTCCCAAATACCATGCCCTTCCTCCCCGTTTCATGGCAGCCGAAGCAACAGCAAAACAGAGGCTGACAGAACCAGTAGCTCCGACTATCAGCTGGGAGCGAACTGGTTCGCTCTGCTGATAAAGTGGGCCTGCCTAGTCACCCCTGCGCTTTATTCACCTTTATCGTCTCAGCTGGGTCACGTGGCAGAGTGGAGTGCTGTGGCTCAGCTATTTTCCTCCCCAGCAGTAATGCAGAATGTACTTTTTCTCAAAACCGTGCCCCGCGTGATTACCAATCCGGTTGTTAAACCGGTAGGATGCCACCGCTGCCTATGTCCCATTGTTAGCCAAGCCTAATCCTTATCCTGCCATAAAAGGGTGTTTCCCCCTCTTCTTCTGACTCCGATCTCCTGTTCAGACGTGCGGGAAACTCGAGGCAGCCCACCCCACCCCAAATATCTCTTTCTTCTCCCCACTGCCTGGCCACAATCCAAGTCATTGGGGCTTCACCGTCGTGCGAGCTCTCTGAATGTCCCATCGGAGACACATCCACTTAGAAATCAACAGGCGTCGAGGGGAATCGAGGCTGTTCGAGTGGAACGGGTTCCCTTCAGGTCATCAAGACCAACCTTTTCTCTGGCGGGTGACTCCAAATTAGGGTTGGACTGGACTACATGGCCTCAAGAGTTCTCCCATGCCTCACCACTTATGTCCTTGTGTAAAGAAAGGCTGTAAGGCAGAGGTGTCAAACTCAAAGCCCGGGGGCCAGATCCGGCCCGCGGGGTGATTAGATCCGGCCCACGGGGCTGCCCTGGAAACAGCAAAGGACTGGCCTGCAGTGCTTCTGCCAGCGAAAATGGAGCTCGGGAGCCCATTTCTGCTGGCAGAGCACTCGGCCACCACAGGCATCCCCAATACAAATGACATCAAGCTGGCCACGCCCACCTTGGCCAAATCCATCCCAGCCTCCCCAAGGTCAAACACAACCCTGATGCAGCCCTCAATGAAATTGAGTTTGACTCCTCTGCTCTAAGGTTTTGAAGCCATCAGTCCTTTTCCCTTCTTCATTTTCTCACACAGAGAAACACAGAGACACACACAAACAGGGCCGGCTGCCTTTTGGGCAGGCTGGCCATGCCCTTTTTCTCACCGGCCGCAGTGCAGCCCTTGAGCCGGTGCAGGCGAGTTTATATTATTTTTTTCCCGACAAAGGTTGTTTGGCTGCCTTCTGCGCCTCAGGATTAATTCATGCCTTGGATGTTGCAGGCCCCGTAATATATTATCTCCGCAATGGATGCGAAGCAGCTGTTGCCGCTGTGACTTAGCCGGTGGACATGATGGAAGCCCCTGCCTCACGGATCAGGAATCCGCAATGCAATAAAGCCTGAGGAGTTGGAGGGGGCCAAGAGAGGGCATCCGGCCGAGCCCCATAACTTTATATCCTGTTTAGACTCAGCACAATAAGCAAATTCTCAGTCACTGACTTTAAGGACGAGCAATTCGAGCTTTGAAACACAACACTATTGGAAATATAGGTTGCCCTTGATTTACGACGATAATTGAGTGCGGAATTACAGCCGTAAATTGCGCTGGTCTTATTCTTTCTTTCCTCCCTTCCTTGCTCCCTCCCTTTTCCCACTTTTTTCTTCCTTCTTTCCTTCCTTCTTTCTTTCCTTCTTTCCTTCCTTCTTTCTTTCCTTCTTCCCTTCTTCCCTTCTTTCCTTCCTTCCTTCCTTCCTTCCTTCCTTCTCCAGCATTCTTCTCAAGACATTATTTCATTAACTTTCAATAAGATTTTCATAATCTGAGAAGCCATCTGTTCCAGTCTGTAAATTCATAATCAGTTTTTAATTTTAGTATCGTATCTCAAGCCTCTTGGAGAGCCCAATTAATTCATGGGATACTCTCCTTCCTTCCTCCCTTCCTTCCCTCCCTCCTTTCTTCCTCCTTCCCTCCCTCCTTCCTTCCTTCCCTCCTTCCTTTCCTGCCTCCTTCCTTTCTTCTTCCTCCCTCCCTCCTTCCTTCCTCCTCCCTTCCTTCCCTCCCTTCTTCCTCCTTCCTCCCTCCTTCATTCCCTCCTTCCTCCCTCCTTTCTTCCTTCCTCCTTCCTTCCCTCCTTCCTTCCCTCCTTCTTTCCTTCCTCCTTCCTTTCTTCTTCCTTCCTTCCTCCTTCCCTCCCTTCCTTCCCTCCTTCCTTTCCTGCCTCCTTCCTTTCTTCTTCCTCCCTCCCTCCTTCCTTCCTCCTCCCTTCCTTCCCTCCCTTCTTCCTCCTTCCTCCCTCCTTCTTTCCCTGCTTCCTCCCTCCTTTCTTCCTTCCTCCTTCCTTCCCTCCTTCCTTCCCTCCTTCCTTTCCTGCCTCCTTCCTTTC